TTTAATTTTAAGTTAAAAACTTTATTGATTCTATTTTCTGAAATTGTGAGACGTTGTTAATTAAAAATTTTTACTCGGGTTCAAAAAAATTCCAAATTAATTTGGAATTAGATATATCTAGATTGAAATTGAAAGTTTTCAATTTTCTGAAAAACTCAAATCCGTGAAATGGTTTTTAAATCGAAAAAAGAAACCCAAGTCCACAAAGTCGAATCCAAAGTTCTAAGCTCAAAAATTGGAAATTTTTGATGCGAAGCACGAACGAAATCAGTGAAATGATTCGTAAAAGAACGTAATACGATATCTTGTCGAAACGCATTGAGATACGAGAAATTCAGATTTCAAATTGATTGAAAACAGCGGAACAAACATGAAAACGTGTAATTTTGCGCAACGATTTTTTCTTAGTAAAATGAGTTTCCGTTTTCGACGAGTTCACTTTGGTACTACGTGTAATTTCCCATCAATCAAGATACTACACACGTACGATATTACGATAAAATCGTCGACTAGATTAAATGTCGTTTAATCGATCGATTCCGAGATGTTGTTTATTTTTAATATTGTTTATTCTTCTCTCGAATAGATATATCGTGGAATATTGAAACGATTGAAAAATTCAAAGGAAAAAGAGGGAGAAGGAATTTCGTTGACTATGTCACGTTGCAAATTAAAATTTTCCGAATTTTACATTTATTTTCATACATGAAAAAATGTGATGTTACATGTTGAAAAGCAAATTTTCGTTTTCTAAGAAACGTTAAAACTTGACGTCCCCTCCTCAAATAAGAATTCAATAATTCTCACAGCTACATCTATTTGGAATAAATATAATCTGAAGATTTCAAATTGAATTTGGTTTAATTTAGAACAATTTATAATATTATTTATTTGTAATTTCTCTTACGTGTTTTGTAAACATAAGAATGAATGTAATTTGTCTTTGATTATGCAAGTTTCCAATTAATGATTCTCGTTAAGCATTTGGTTAATAATACTTCGATTATTGGAATAAATATAATGATAATTTTGATTAGAGATTTTAGATTAAATTTCAATCAGGATAATCTATAATTTTGTTCATTTGTACCTTTTTTTTTTAAAGCGAGAAAGTACTGTTTTGCTAGAAAATTCTTGACCGACGACAATTTTAGATTCAATTAATAATTCTTTGATTACTACACATAGATATAGATATGATTTACGATTCTGAATATTTCAAATTGAATTTTATTTATTTATACCTTCCTGCATTACTTGTGTATTATTTTGTTAAAAAGTTTTTACTCTAGTTACCATAGTTTTATATTAGTTACAAAATTTATTATATTATATTCATTTATTATATTAGTTTTATATAGTTTTAATATTAGTTACAAAATTTCCCATTAAATTCTGTATTAATTGAACAACTGTTCATAAAAAAACAGTATTTCAAAATATTTTTAAAGGTGTCAAATCTTCGTAGCTCACGAATGAAATTTTTCGCCGCACACCTAAAAGAGATGTTCTCTTTTATTTCCGTCTGCCCTCTAACTGCCTTGTACGCTTTAAAAATACGATTCGTTCATAAATCCGTCTGTCTAGTCGTCACCAGGTCAGTTGATTCTTAGGAGCTTCAATGACTTCGAACCGTTCGATTTCCAATCTTTTGTTCTTTATTCTTTTCACTTGACTCTCAAATATCATCGGTTCACAGGCGAATAGAAGAAATTTACGTTAAATAACTAAAATTCAGGCTATCTGATCTTGTATTTTACATTCTTTCGTAAAATTAAGTAATTTAATCTCAAATCGTTAGTCGAAATTAGGAGGATATCTAGAATAACATTAGTAAATCGATACTTCAGATCGAGAACGGTTTAGAGTTAAATCGCTTATTATAATATCACGAAGAATATAAAGATCCAAGAATTAAATATTCCAAATTTCAGTCATCTAACAAATTGAACAATTTGGTACAATTTGGAACGATTTTATTTATATATACTTTCCTATATTGCGTATTATTGTATTAAAAAAATTTGTAAAAAATATTTCACACATTGTTAAGAATCTCAATTATTTATTAATTGTACTACCAATGCTCAATTGCAAAGAAGAATAAATTTTCATAGAACGCAACTGAAACGTTGGCTAACTGAATCGTAGGCGTTAAATCTAGAATCTAGAATCTAGAAACCAGCGTCCAAAAATCTAGATACCAGTATCTAACAATCTAGAAACTAGCTACTAAAATCTAGAAACCAGCGACTAAGAATTTAGAATCTAGATTCTTAGATAAACTTTCTATGATGGGGAAGAAGAAGAAGAAGAGAGAGAGAGAAAGAGAGAGAGAGAGAGAGAGAGTACTAATTCTTGCAAGTACAAGGGCGGGAATAGGTTTGTAGCGTATGATCGAGCGGGAGTGGAGGGAGAAATTAAAAGATTGGGAAATAGATTTGGCATGAACGTACACAGAAGATAATCGAAATTACGTGACTGAATAAAGGCCAAGTTTCAAGATCAACGAACAAAGAGGTACCACACGCACGATTACAAGTTCGGTTTCGACATGTTGATTTCTCAAAATTCCGTCACGTCGCGTGTGCCAGTTTTCTTTCACTGTATTTTAACGAGCGAAAAAAAGTTCGACGATAGAAGAATGAGCAGCTAAAGAGCTGTTGAAAGAGAAGCTTCCAATAATGACTCTCTTTTGTTCTTCTCTTCTTTCTTTTTCTTTTTTTTTTGGAGAGGGGAGGGGGGTAATTAAAGGAAGGGAGTTATTTTGGAAATTTGTTCCTGTTTTGTTTTTGTTAATTTTCTAAACTTAAATAATTAATCAGTACGGGTTAGAAATTAGTATCTTTCTGGAATCTTACTTCCACATGCAACAGATTACAACAGAAACACCATAAATCGTGTTAAATATTCTATCCCATTAAATATTAATTTTTAATTATATTGATAATAGTAATTTATTCTACGATAAATACAAGGAATGAATTTTTTAGTCTACGATAAAAATGTGACATGCAAAACGAAAAAATTATTCGAGATTCAATCATTTGGCCAAAAATCAAAACTGGAGGTGTCGAAGAAAGCAGGGAAAGCTACGTTGAAAAATTTATTTTTCGCGTGTATTTTTGCGTGGACGAAAAAAATATTGAAAATGGAGAAGAGACAAGGGAGAGGTGGAAACGCTATATTTAATCGCGTTCACCACTGAAAACATTCTTCGTTATGGTACTCGTGTATTTTTAGCGTTTTTCGCTTTCATCCTCCGTGGTATCGCGACGACGATCGCCATCCACGCGATTCTAACAATTTTTCACTTCGTGCTTTGCTCTTAACGCTTTTTCCTTCCTTTATGGGGTTATTCTCGAAATAGAAATTCTTCTCGAGGTTGTTGTACCATGCGAAGAATGTGCTTTCCCCACGGTTTTTCACACGCTTTGCGATGAATCGAATCACCCAATTTCTTTACGAATTTTTCTTTATGATGAAGAGACTGTCGTCGAAATTTCTCGTTGGTCGATATTCCAGCGATCGGTTGTTGTTATTAATCGATACGATTGATACGACTGAACTGAAACTGCTTACAATTTTCAACATTTTGCAAGGTGTCTGAATTTTTCTCAATTTAATGATAAATTTTATTAGCTAATAAAATATATATAGAGAAAGCTTTGAAGCCAATCAATGTAAATCATGTTTTATTGCCAGATTTTTATGCAATTTTAAAGTTTTATGGATATAGTCGAAGAAATATAGCCTGAGCAAAAATTTGTTTTCAATACTGATTATAAGTAAGTGTTCTGTTTTGCGCGATATTTTACGTGTCGAATAAATTTGCGATTTTATTCATTAAAAATGACATTACTCTACAAACATTTCCTTGTTAAAATCATCAGTGAATAGAATCGTAATAATTAAATTACAATTGTTTTATAACAATAATTAAACTGTTCTGTTGTTGGATGACCAACCAATATTGAATCTATGCAAATACTGACAATGAGTTAGCAACAGTCCACATAAAAGTGGATTGTGAATAGTTAATCACAAGGGCAAGATCCAGTACTTGGTCATCTATGTTCCTTTCCCTTCCACTTGACGATGATAACCAAATATAAGGACATTCTTTAGAGACATTCGATAGCATTAGACATTCATCATGTTCTAAGACATTCTAAATTATTGTAAATCATTCTATATCATTCTATTTCATACATGACCACGACTGTAAGGAAATAAACTCTTCTAAATTATAAGCGTGTTGACTCCATTACACGGAATCCAACACTGTTAACTGACGGTTTTAACAACAAAAAGAGCATTAGAAGTTAGCATTAGGTTCTACATTGATCAATTTTGGAATTTTTAATTCTGGAGTTTTTTTATTTGATTTAGTACCAACCTTTATCTGTGAGAATACTGTAAAATACCAAATACTAAATACTTTCAATTTTTGTAATATAGTACACATATACAAATATATTATACAAATATAAATAATTACCAAAGTCATTGTCTATGATGAACGTAAATTTCGTTAAATTCCAATTTTATTAAAAACAGTTCAATTTTACAAAAAATAAATTTGAAAATTTTACGTGATTCTAATTCAATGACCAAGGATCCAGTATGAGTCAATCAGTACAAGTCATTTTTCATTAGAAACAATTTGTCCTGTGCAAACACCTCCTGATTGTCAAAATCATCCTCACGAAAGAATTTAGTCACTACAATACAATCATTATAATATCATAATTAAACTGTCTCCCCAACTATCAATTTTGACAATGAAAGCATGTTTGCACGGGACAAGTCATTCTCCTGATGGAAAATGATTTATGCTGCACACTAAAGGTTCCGGTGTAAATAACTAGGTAAATGAAATACGGATCACGGAGTATAGTGTTAGATAGAATCTGTATGAAGCTATTAGAAAAATCCGCTCGTGCCGTGTTACACACGGTTTAAATCGTGTAAGAGTCAACGTGATTATAAATTCTCACCTAGTCGAACCTGCTGTCCTTGGATTGCCCGATCGATCTCCAGCATCAGGAGTATCCCAACGATAAGACGTTTCACGACCGCCATCCTGAGTTCCTCGACGACAGGCACGGATATTTATTGGTGCGGCATCGGTGACTTTCTGAAAAAAAGGAAAAGAAAAAGATGTGCGTTTTATTAGATAGTTTAGTAAGCAATATTTCTATCTTTTAAAATGGATCATTCCAATTTATTAATTTTTCAACTTAATTTACTTAGTTTAATAAATAAGGATATTTTTCATCATTTAATCGAAGATTATTTCAATTTATTAATCGTTCTATCAGGTATATAACGAACGTTTAATTAGTTTAATAAATAAAAATATTCTTCGTCTTTTAATCGAAGATTATTTCAATTTATTAATTCATTAAGTTACATGTTTAAAGATTTCAATTTGTTAATTTTTAAACGTTAAACAACGTTTATACAGGAGTACAATAATATCTTATAATAAAATATATTATAATACAATTTACAATAATATTATTCTTTCATTCTAAAAGGTATAATAATATAAAAATAATTTCAAAAATAATCCGTGACAAACAGCAACAACAAACAAAAGAAGAACGACAAAAGTACGTTTGTAAATGTAATTTCAAATATTTATTTAAAAAATATTTCGTTGAAAAGATTCGAAACGTACGAAAACAAACGTTTGAAAATGAAATTAAAAATCATCCTTCTCTTCGAAAGGTCCACGCCATTACACGTTCCTTCGGGCCTAATCTGAGACACTAAAGAAACAGATCCTGCGAGGGATCTCCGGAGAGAGCGAGTAGGTTATGGCGCAACGGTTGCTGATCTATGGGGTTGAGTGCAAGGATGCACGCCGGACGTGTTCTGGCGTTCGAAATCCTCTGACAATAAGGTGGCCATGTGTTTCTTTTCTAGTCCGACACTCTTGCAATAGTCTACAGTCTATTACAGGGTTTCTCAAATTTTTCCACTTGGCGACCTTTTTTACCCAGGCAAATATTTTTGCGACCTCTGTGTATAGACGTACATCATAAATCATAAAGAAAATTTATTCGAAAACAATTCTTTTAACATACATATAAATATAATTTTACCATATATTAAAGACAAAGCCAAATATTCATACTAATCTTTTAGTTTTGTTAAAATTTCTGCGACCCCTGTATTTAGTTACACGACCCCATACTTTGAGAAACCCTGGTCTATTATACTTTACAAGATAGAAAACGTTGCACCCTATAATACCCTGCGAAGCGTCTCGTCGTTTCTGATCGGATTTATGACGATTCGCCACACGCGCCGCTTTGTCGAGAAAGATAACAAAAAANAAAAAAAAAAAAAAAAACAAAGAAAGAAAGAAAAAAGAAAAAAAGAAAAGAAGACTGTTACTTTACCAGGGGACCCTTGTAAACCGGTCCGATGGTTACTCTTAAACGCCTCTATTTATAAAGAACCAGGCTGGTTAACGATTTTTGCCGATCGTTTTCCAAGGATTTCGCCGGCGTAGGCGTTACGTGTTTTTCATTTGATTTTGTTTGACGGTGTTTAATGCAACGGGGCGCTTGATTTGGGTTGAAAGATTTCAGGAGGACGTGGTGGTTTGACACCCTGAGCATTAGGAGTTTGTAGTCTGATAGTGGGTTATTAATTGTCCGCGTGGGTTATTAATTGTAAATAGGAATGTTGTTAGATAAGAGGTATTGGGAATTTTAGGAGAGCGTCGGAAGTTTCGTTTCAATGCTCGTACTCGGATATTTGAATTTGAATTTGGGAATTTAAATATGACAATTTAATAATCAAATTCATATACGAGATGTATTACAAAAAAAATAAACAATAAATATATAAAATACATTATACTGTAAAATATATTTTATAATATAAAAAATATATATATATATATATATAACCATTATTGAAATAATAATAATTAATATAACTTTCGAATCGAATTTAATATCGAAATATACTACATTGTATATAATATAAGAAATATGATAATGATTATGTATGTATATTAATTTGTATCATGTTCATACTACGTTGCACATATTTGTGAATTTATAAAAGATATGTTTTATTAAAATGAATCGTAACACATACATAATTCACCAATCGTAACAAGTAACACACAGACACAGTATATGTCTATAATAATTCAGTTTCATTTCCAATTTTATCACAGCCTAACTCACAATCATAATACACAATTGCAATAAGCGTTGAACATTTACGACCCTGACGAAACAAGTGCATAAATCAGTCAGTGAGTATTCCAAGCTGATTGAGAATTATACGAAAATTCAGACGCAGCCTCCAGCGAAGAAAAATCACTCTCGTTCACCAGGCTTATTACAAAAGACCAGTCCGAGGAGGTTCGTAAGGAACCGCGTTAATGATCGTGCGGAAACGCATAAAACACCATTTTCAACCGTTAAATTTAACCGAAAGCAGATTTACTCGCGCGATTCGTTCTTTCGTGCTCGTTAAAAGTCGCGTTGAAAATGTTCAAAGTGTCTATTCTTCGAAGTCTGGAACTGTCCGCCAACAAGTATTTACACTTGCTCGTTGCAAATTGAGCACGATGGACTGCTCTCGCGTGATGGTTGCGCGTTAACGTGCACCGTGACGCGAGCCGTGTGATAACGTTCCATGTGTCAATAGTTTCTGCGTGATTTTTACATTCCGATTTACGAGGGAGGGCGTAAAAATATGTAACGCGTTCCGTATTTCTCAGAAGTCGAAAATGATCCACTCCGCTCTTTTCATAAATGTCATTTTCTTATTTAGATGTACCATTAATCCGTTTACCTTTACGTGAGGTCATTGGAACTATTTAATTTTAAATCAGTGAGTGTATTATATGCTCACGTTATTATTTGAAGATGTATTATTATTATTATTATTATATAAAGATTATTTTTATGCAAATTTATGCTTTTATACGAAATAATATTATCGAAAGTATTATACTGACGATGTTTTATATATTTTTTCATATTACGTGTATTTTGTGCAAATTTAGTCTGAAAATCATATTTCAATCGCATAACATTCAAAAATAATTAGAAATAAAGTGGAACTTGATTAGAAATTTGTGTCGTCTATTAGCTGTTATAATAATTGTTCTAATTTAAATATTTTGGATAGCTAGTTGTATTGATATATTTTATAATTTAAACAGTTTATGACATTGCGATATATTACATTGTATATAATGTATTATAATACACTAATGTATATTATTATTATTTATTGAAAATCAATACGCTTCATCATTTATATTCCACAGTTGTAATAAAGTTATATGAAAGTATTTATTTCCATTTATCATAAAAAATCAAGATGGAACAACTCACAATTTGCAAAGAAGCGAACTACAATTCTATAGAATCTAATTCTCCGCGAGTTTAATCTAACTGCACTCCGAGCCACTTTGTGAAAGCTTAATATCCAACAATCGACTTACTCCATTATCCCAAATAGGCGACACAAGGAAGAGGAATACGTAGGCAATCCAATTTTCCAATATTCTCCGCTTACTCGATTACTTTCATTACACCAACGTATTCTTCCACCAATCTTCGGGTCCCATTCACATTTCAAACCAAATCTGACGTTTTTCTCCTCTCACACCGCTCTCTTCGCTTTAATCGTCTTCGCTTTCCATTCGATCTCCGCGAGAAAAAAGAAAAAGTGAAAGAAGAAAAAAAGAATAAAAGAAAAGAAGAAAAATATTCGTTCGAGCAAAATTTACATATTGAATTTACATAAGTAAATTAACGCGCTGGCACATTGGAGATGAATTAAAAGGGAAAACTCGTGCGACCAAGCCCGGAGATTAAAGTTCTGTTTTCACGTGGCGAGTCACTCGAGTTTGATAATGGCGTCACGGAAGCCGAACATTTTGTCCGCTTATTTATGCGTTCACGCTTTATCGGGCGTTTAATTCTCCAAAGCTGCCCGGTAAATAAGATAATGTATTCGATCCTGTTTGCATATTCTCCGTCTCTCTGTCTGTCTCTTTCTCCGTCTGTCGTTTCTACTATCTGATAAGATTAAAACCACCGTTTTCACTGTCTCATTCACGATTTCGAATTGTCATTTGTGTTGGAGAATAAACGCACCCCCAATTGGAAAGTCTTGGGACAAATTTAGAACTGTGTAATACAAAATTGTTTAGTTAATAGAATTTTCAGGCGACAGAACGATCAGTTTTCTCATATTAAATTTCGTGTGTCGTTTGTTAAATATTTATTTTAACACGAGACATGAGAAGATAAGAATGTTACATTCTTTTTCAATATTGAAATACTCGTTTGTATTATTTTAGAGTAGCAAGCAATCTTTTGTTGCACAACCAATATAAAAATATACGTCCTCATCACTTTTGTTTACTTGTTCGTCCATAACATCTGCGACGTTGTCAAACGTTTCTTTCAAAATACATTATTTACACTTTATATTGCAATAACTATTATACATATTGTAATAACTGTTGTATTATTATATCATTCATTTAATAATATCGTTACAACAATTCAGATTGAATACAGTTATTGTCTACAATTTTAAAAATCATTTAACATGACCCTCAACCAACAATCACACCTCTTCGAATTCTCAACTCCCTGAGAAACCCTAAATCCCCGTTTTTCTCACGTTTCACCCGCCATTTCGCCTTCTCTAAATTCAAGAGAACATCATAAGACACTTTCAATTTGTCCTCACGCGCTGCTAAAGAATCGAATCACGTTTTCCACGTGATAAATCACCGTTAGTTGTTGCACCAAGGGTGGAATATATTTTCTTAGGCCCGGTGAGTCGGGGCTTTGATGTGGCTGCATGCGTAAATCAGCCGATTTCCTTCGACAAATCTCGAGGAAAGAGTGGGGCGAAGGGGTGGGGGCAGGAAGGACCTGCCCATCCCCGAAATTTATGCTAAGCGAACCCCTCGGGTGGTCTCCTCTTAAGATCCGGCTGCCAGTAAATTTGAATTCCTCCAGGGATGACCGTGACTTTCGTCCTGTCATATTATCCTATCGTTCCTGGCGCGATGCGTCGCTGCTTCAGGAAGTATAAAGCAACCTTTATTGCGTCTTCTATCATAGCCTCAAGTGG